GACAGGAAAGGCAGGATGGTCGCCTTGTTAACAAAATACCTCCAGTATAAGGGTTTGTGATACAATTTCTCACTTGAAGTTGTTAACTGTTTGTCTTGGCTTATCACCTGCTATCCTCAGTTCACACCTCTTCTGACTAAGGCACAGGGCTCACCAGTGCTACAATAAACACTGACTAATTCTCCCCCATCCAGTAACCACTACGTTGCCAATCCACTCCTCTTCTGACCTCTGGGTTTCAAAATAACATTACTTTATACTTCAGCTGGAGATTGCCAAACACTATATTATCTTTCTCTCCCACAGATGGAAATAGTAAAACTTGAGAAAATTAAGTAAATCCATGAAGAATGCTGCTGATGAATGGCTTACCAGTTCTGCCTCCTAGCCCACTGCTCTACCAGCCTCATGCGACAGGAAGAAAAGCCACAAGGCCTCAATACCCCAGACCATCGCTCTGTCAGCTGCACTGCCCAGCACTCCTGTTCTCAAGACCTGGCTCTTGCTCTGGCATGCTAGAAGGCTGGCACTGCAGTTTCAAGCTGCTCCAAGGATAAACTGAACCATGCCAGCCCCTCACCACCTTGCTCTTGCAAGCTGTCTGACTGACAGCGGATTGCAAACACACAGTCATTTCGATCCATCACACTCCATGTTAAAAACTACTCCGGTCCCATGTTTTTTGCTGAAATCTGACTTGTCTCGGTGCATCTTGTCCCAACACAGTGCATCCTTCTCACATTGTCCTAGAGCCAACCAAGGATTCATGTGCTTGATTTTTACTTTTGAAATTCAGGACTGTTCACCAAAGAACTCCAGAGGCTTTCTGGAGAAAACTCTGATCCCTGCAAAGTCAGGGAATGGTGGTACAAAAGCAGTCTGAAAGTGGCAAGTGAACTTTCGAGAAAGGAAGGTACTTGGTTGAGTTGTTTGAGGTTCTTGGGGTTTTTTGTTTGTTTGCTTGCTTTGCTATCTATAGTCAAACAACACTTTTGGAAAATCATACATTTCTGAAAGATGTGTCACCCAAGTTGCCTTTTTCAGAGATGAAAGAATCCATGCAGGTGTCTAACAGGTCACCTTCAAAAAACTCCAAACACCCAAAAAGCCAGAAACCCAGAATTTTCTCATGTGGAAAGCTAGTAACAAAAATTAAAAGAAATCCTCAATTCATCATACAGAGATCCAAGCCATGCTTTTTTAAAACAAATTTGCAAATTATGCTTAAGTGACTCTTCCAAAGTGACACAGCGAGTCAGTGGCAAACAAACCATACAGCTGCTGTGCACAGTCATATGCCTATTCTGAGGTACACAATGATGTAAAATCCAGATTGTTCTTTTTTTAATATTCATCCTATAGTCCTAATTATAGGATAAGTTATTGGTCTTAGTAAGTTAAGTTTATTGTAAATGTTCTTCAGTTATGTGCCAGTATTATGAGACAAATAATTTATTCCAGGATAATATTAGGACACTTTCTTTAGTTGGACAATTGCTATTTCCATCATTCTGTGGATTAACCCTGAAGAACAAGAGTGAAAAAAACCCACAGTATCCTCTGGGATACATCCTGCTATTTGAAGCGTGCCTTCCAAATGGACAGACCCAATTCACCTGGCGTAAAAAACTTTCCAGACAAATGGACGGCAATGTTCTTCTTCAGGTATGTACTAAACCAGCCACAAAATCGATGCTGCCAGCTCATCAGGAACTACTATTGTCTCTAAATAAGTCTAACAGATCTACTCAACCAGTACCTTCTTGCTTTAACTGAACATTTCTTCTTCTGGGAGCCAACTGCATTTCTTGGCTCTGGGAATGGGGTTCATAATGGACATGAAAATACAACTCTGGTTTTGTCTTGAAGACAGCTTGTCATTTTTTCTCTCCTACCAAAACACAGGTCCAATATTGTCTATAGGGAAAAAATATATTGGCAGTTTAGATAAATGAGAATATGTATGCTACTACCAGTCTGACAACGCGCACTGACTCCCACAGAATAGCACGGCAAGAGTTCCTTTTTCCACCTACATTGGTGACACTACATCCCAGCTTACATAATTATGCAGCACCGACTACCAACACATCTATGGTCTGCTTCTACAGAAAGAGACAGAAATGAGGTAATACACAGTTGAAAACCAGGGTTTTTTAATCTCATAGTCACTCAAGAAGGCTTTGAAATATACAGGAGCTTTCTGTAACCAAGGATTGATCAAAGAATGAGAATTAAAATACTTAGATTCCATGGAAACTGTTCTGAGTTTTGCCAGGGTCACCTCTCTTCTGCCCCATAAAGTCCGGAGCAGATGCCGTCACTGCAGTGCATCACCATGTTCCCACTGAAAGCAACTGCAAAATTCTCACAAGGGTTCAACAAATACAGCAATTTCAGTGGCAGCCAAGGACACTCAGACACACACAGAGCTGAGTCTGCACCTTTCAGATTGCATGGGAGGACTATCCTCTAATTCACTGTATGGGACCCTTCTCAAGATAAGATCTTAACAAAAACAGTAATGCAGTTACATTTATTACACTGTCAGTGTGCCTCCCACATAGGAGGGTTTGTCCTGAATCCTTAGGTGAAAATTTCTCTTTACACCCACTGTCACACATGGTGCCCTGCAGCGCTGGTCTAAATGGGTTTGCGTCTGTCATTCATAAAGGTAACATCTACACCTATTGAAAATGAAAGATGCTTTGGCTCTACGCTTACAGAGCACATCAGGAGTTTTGAGGAGGAAAGCTGCAAGTGAAGCATGGTATTATACTAAGAAACAGCCTTGCATGGGTATTAGACAAACAGATGTCTTCAGCTACTGTAGGACCTGGCCACTGGCAGGAAATAATTCTGCGAGTGGTGCTTGGACAGATTTCAAGAGCTGAAGCATAGCAGGCTGATTACCGGTTCTCACCTTTCAATCTGAGACCAACTGGGAGAGGTCAGAGCTGCTGCTGACAGGCCAGACATATGGAATTAATTTAAGGGTCTGGCAAACACCTTCACCAAAATATGCTGAAAATTCTGCTATTGAAAGTAGCTCAGCAAGCCGAGTTCGTTATTCCACTTGAATCACAAAGCTCTCCCTTGCTATAGGTATTGTTGCAGCATAGAGCTAAGCAAAATCCGTAAAATTGATGTGAGCAGCAAGTCACACACCCGGGACCTGCCCGCTTGGGTTCCCTGCTGCTGCAGGGAGATCACTGCCTGAAGCTGCACTAGCCAGGTCAGGGCTGTGCACGGCGTGCCCACGCTGCTCTGCTGGCATGGAGCCTGTGAGCAGGATGCTCTGTATTGCGCTAGCCAGCAAACCACACTAACTTTATCTACAACTTAGAAAATGCTGCAGTAAAGGTGTAGTGTCACAGGCTGCTTCAGCAGTTGCCAGGGGCATAACAAATGAGGATACAAGTTTGTGCAGCCACCATCACACCCCATATCACAGCACTGTCACTGTACTGAAAAGACCTTGCAGGGTGCCAGCTACTGCAGAAGTGCAAACATGCCCAAGTGGCTCTCTCTGCTTTAGCTTACTTTTAAGTTCTCATCAAAGAAGCCATTTCACAGAAACTTTCTCCAGTATGTTTATGACCCAAATTCCATGGTTTTAATTCTGTATTTTCAGACTTGAATCACAAGTTAGAAATAAACTGATGGAATAAAACCCACACCTTCCCTCTCCAAGACACACTCTCACACACACATACTTCTCACGTGAAAGCAAAGCGACGCCTCAGAAGGCTTAATGGCAAGAGCAGTGCTTCAGGCATCCTGCCTGTTAGTAAAATGTCACAGTGGAATCAGAACGTACGTAGGAAACCAGAAACAAACAGTGCTCTCGCCAGCACACGCTGCAACTGCGGAAAAACAAGCTGCAGGGACAAGTTGTGTTTACATTTATAAGTCCAACGCTGGAAACAGGTAAAGACTATGGGATTTGAAGAAGAGAGGAGGTGGGAAGTGTGCCTCTCCACCTTCACGCAGTTCACACTTTGTCATACTGATGCAGTCATGGCCACGGAAGGTATTTAGGGAGGCCTGTCTCTCTCTCTTTCTCTGCCTTCTGAAAAAAAACATTCGGCAGCTAGTTTTTTATTTAAAAATCAGCTCTAGTGCTGGAAACATGCCAAAGACAATAGCCGGAAGACCAAGGAAATTCAGTACTTTTAATAACGAGGGAAAAAAAAAGGAAACGGCCACCCATGGTTTGCCACCCAAAGGCAGGTGGATTCTCACGGTAGTCACGCTCATGCGCCGTGTAAGTGCACAGCCGGCAGAGCACATCGACCGCTCAGCCAGAGACCCGGGCGGCGGGACCGGGGCCGTGCTCAGCACCGCACCGGGGCCGCGGCCTAGCAGCGGCCTTGGGACCTGCGACTGCCACTGACAGCCTCCGTTCTGTCAACGCTCCACACGGAACACCTAACTGACCGGGGCTGGGTAGGCTATTCGCACGGACCCTTCCTCCTTTCCCTGCATTTTCTGGTTACAGCTGCCTATTTACTCCCCCTCGGCGCAAAACTCCACCTCGCCGTTTTCTCACAGCCAGGCGTCAAACACAGATCCGCTCTCCCGGCGGGAACGTTTCCCGGGCGACAGGCAGCTTCCGTAAGGAGCCTGGGCACAAACGAGCTCCTCCGCACCGCCGCCCTTCGCTCCGAAGGCGGCGCTCTGGGCCGCTCCGCCGGCGGGGCCGGGCCGGGGCCG